GCTCAGGAAAACTTAATGGAAAAGACAACAGGCAGTTTCACATTAAAACATTAGTTTTGATTTCAGTTCAGTTCAAACAAGACTAGAAGTTTAGTTGAGAAGAACCAAGTGTTAAATTCAAAAGCAAGTTTTTAGATTCTCTTAGATTTTAGAGTTAAGAGGAAACCATTACAGAAGCAGTTTTTTTTTAAGTTTGTAATGTTTTCAAACCAGGAGAGTTTTGTACAGAATTCTTGAAGTTATGATTATAAAACGTTTAGGCCATCATACTTACGAAAGGTTCATACCAACAGACTCTGAGAAATATCGTAAAATTGGCTGTACGGTTTGAGAAAGAAACTCAAGGGAGTTAATAATATAAAAATTTAGTGTTGAGATGGGGGTATAATTTTTCTGGACTTCTGAAAGGTAGAATTAGGAAACTAGTTGAAACTTTGTTTTAATGTTTGTGTTGAGATCTTTCTCTCTCTCTATATTATATGGCTTGGTATGTTTGTATTTTTATTTTGTTTGGTAAAGGTATGTGCTGTTCTTAAAGAACTGCTTAACCTTAACCTTAGATTGCAGAATATGATCGTTAAATCTATATATTTTATTTGTGTTGGTTTGATGAATGGGGCAGCAAGTATTAAGGTGCTGGCAAATTTGTGTTCAAAGTTTTCCACAAGGTGGGAGGTTGCTGATTTCATTCATGTTGTCTTGAGGACCCATAATCCTATCATGAAGTCAATATCTGAAGGAAGAGGTGTTGCAAAATTGGTGAGATGATAAACCCCCTTTATTTTTTAAAAAAAAAAAAAATTCTTTTATCAAAAACTCTTTGAGAATCTGTAGGCTTTACTGCTTGGGCCCGTAATTATTTCCCATCCCTAGTTGTCATGGAAAAGTTGGTGATGGTGATGACTTGTTTTCTTGAACTTCTGCAGTCTTTTTAGGGAGCCTGTCCCAGGCTTTTGACCCCATGACAGTGCAATGTATTTCCAAGTCAGGGTGGTGAGTGGATCAGAGAGGAATATGTAGGTGTCGGTACTTGCTGTTGTCTTCTAGATTTTAATGACTGGGTTTAGAAGGTGCTGTCATAGGAGCCTTAATGAATTTCTGGAGTGCATCTTGTAGATGGTGCACACGACTATGGTGGCAGGACTGAATGTTTGTAGATCTGGTGCCAATCGAGCAGGCTATCTCTTCTTGGATGATACCAAGTGTTGTTGAAAGTGTACCTGCCAAGACAATTGGGGAAGTATTCCATCACACACTCGTATCTTGTAGTTGGTGCGCAGGCTTTGGGGAGTCAGGTGGTGAGCTACTCATTGCAGGATGTCCAGCCTATGATCCTGCTTTTGTAGTTGCAGTATTCATAAAGCTGGTCTAGTTCAGTTCCTAGTCAATGGTAACCCTCAGGATTTGGGAGAATTGAGCGATGGTAATGCCATTGAATGTCAAGAGGTGACAGCTAGATTCCCCTTCTTTAGACATGGGCATTGCCTGGTACGTGAGGTGTGAATGTTACTTTCCATTTATCAGCTGAAACATGGATATTGATCAGGTTTTGCTGTATTTGGACATGGACAGATTCAGTATCTGAGGAGTTATGAATAGTGCTGAACAATGCACAATCGTCTGTAAACATTTCTACTAATGATTGAGCCATTGATGAAGCAGATGAAAATGGTTGGGCCAAGGAGACTACCTGAAGGAAATCCTGCAGAGATGCTCAAACAATGTGATCATTGTTCTACAACAACCACAATAATCTTTGTTTTTGTTACGTATGACTCCAACCAGTGGAGAATCTTCTCCTGATTTCCATTGATTCTAACTTTGGTAGGGCTCAATAATGCCACACTTGGTCAATTGCAGCCTTGATATCGAGGTCAGTCACTGTAATCTTCCTGTTGGAGTTCAGCTTTTTTGCCTACATTTGAATCAAGGCTGCAATGGTGTCAGGACCCAAATGATGCTGGCAGAATCCAAATTGAAAATCAACGAACAGGTTTTTTTTAAAATTCATTCATGGCATGTGCGCATCATTGGCTAAGCCAGCATTCATTGCCCATCCTAATGGCCCAGAGGGCATTTAAGAGTCAACCACATTGCTGTGGCTCTGGAGTCACCTGTAGGCCCGAACAGGTAAGGATGGCAGTTTCTTTCACTGAAGGACATTATGAATCAGGTAGGTTTTTCTTGACAATCAGCAATTGTTTCATGGTCATCACTAGACTATTAATTCCAGATTTTTTTGTTTTTAATTCAAATTCACCATCTGCCATAGTGGGATTTGAAACCAGATCCCTAGAACATGACTGAGGTCTCTGAATTAATAGTCTAGCAATAATACCACTAGGCCAACTAAGCAAGTGCTGCTTATTAGCACTATTGATGATCTTTTCTATAGCTTTAGTTTTGATTTTGAATAAGCTGATGAGGCAGTAATTGACCGTTTTAGATTTGCATGGCTTTTTGTGTTTGGGACTTGCCAAGAATGTGGAAAACTGCCACGTTAGATGCCATTGTTGGAGCCATAGTGAAACACTGTTGCTAGGAGTGACAACTTCTGGACAAATTCTAGTACTTCAGTACTAGAGTCAAAATGTTGTCAGCGTTCATATCCTTTGCAGTACCAATGCCATTAGCCATTTCTCGTTCTCACGTGGAATGAATTGAATTGGCTGAAGACTGGCATGCGTAACACTGAGGACCTTTTGGAGGAAGCTGAGATGGATCCTCCACAGAGCACTACTGGCTGGAGATGGTTGCAAATGGTTCAGCATTACCTTTTGCACTGATGTACTGCACTCCCCCATCATTTGGGGTTGGAGAGATTTGTGGGAGCTACCTACTCCAGCGGGTTGTTTATCTGTCCACCACAGTTCATGACTGGGCTTGAACAGCTAAACTGTACTATTATGTTGTAATGTTTTGAAAATTCTTCTGATTGAATTACAGCCCCATTTTTAATGGATCTTTTAATTTGGATTTTCTGTCAGGGCGACTTACCAATAGTTCAAAAAGAGGTCCGTTTCTTACTAGCTTAGGACAATGAAAGACTTGTTCTAGCTGCTGCAATCAATTAAATATTCATAATGGCGGATTTTTGCAAACACAATCAATGGAAATGGGTTGTGACATCATTCCAGATTTTAAAACTTGTCCTGCCTTATGCACAAGATACAATGTCAGAAATGTACATGACTTTATAAATTAGGCCCCTCCTGAACAACATTTTATTAAAAATCATATTGGGAAGAATTTCCACTACATATTCACAATCTCTCCACATATGTTTGGTGAAGAAGATCTTCAGCAGGAAACAGTAAACAACTGCCTTCAACCAATTAGACAATTTCAGTGGATGTTTTGATAAAGGATATATACAGTTACTATTTGGGAACTTTGATTTTAAAATAGAGGCAAAATAGATTTGTGGTTTCAGTTCTGTCAAGGTAATTTTTATTGAGGTCAAAGTAATTTGAAATAATGAACTAAAGACATCATTTCTGTGGAAGCATGTAATTTAAGAGAAGTACCTAGTAGGATGCCTATGAAGTTAATTGATGAAATGTTTACAAAGTTAAACTTTACAAAAGCAGGCCAGTGGCTTTTACTGGCTTTCGGTTCAGAAGGATCAGGTTTCAGTTCAGAATCAGGTTTTTAGTGCAGAAGATCTTGTATCAGAAGTGCAGGATAGTTTTTGTAAAGTTTGTTGATTAGTTTGTGTAAAATTTTCATACTGAAAGGAGGGATAGGCCATCAGAACTGGAAAGAAGCTTCAATGCCATCAGAACGGGATAGTATCTGCATTATCCCTTATCTGCATTAAAGAAGATTTAAGGTGCACACTGAAATGTATTCAGCAAAAGGGAAAACCCTTTTTAATAAGGAACTTTGCATAAGTGGGATACCATAGGGTATCAATGTGTACTTCACAAGCTTCAAAATCTCCCCTCCCCCGACCGCATCCCAAAACCAGCCCAGCTTGTCCCCGCCTCCCTAACCTATCCGTCCACTCCTTCCACCTCCAGCCCCAACCCCATCTCCTACCTATCAGCCTCATCCCGCCTCCTTGACCTGTCCGCCCTCCCTGGACTGACCTATCCCCTCCCTAACTCCCCACCTACACTCACCTTTACTGGCTCCATCCCCACCTCTTTGACCTGTCTGGCTCCTCTCCACCTATCTGCTCCTTTATCCATCTTCCATCCGCCTCCCCCTCTCTCCCTATTTATTTCAGAATCCCCTTCCCCTCCCCCATTTCTGAAGAAGGGTCCAGACCCGAAACGTCAGCTTTCCTGCTCCTCTGATGCTGCTTGGCCTGCTGTGTTCATCCAGCTCTACACCTTGTTATCTCAGATTCTCCAGCATCGGCAGTTCCCACTATCTCTTATGTATTGATGTCTTTAATGTCGCTTGACCAGAAGCAATTTCATTTTGGTGTAGAAAGGGTGAACTAGGGTTCACTGTTAAAGAAATTGCTTTCAGAAATGTGACTATTTACAGTAAGTGAGGCATGTCCCTACTACTTAGCAGCCCAATGTGACTTAATAGTCTCTTGAATTTTAATGACTTTAATATCCATTAATCCTCATTGCTAACTTATTAAAAACCTGATGATTGCAATCTTTGTAAACTGATGTTTGTATTGTTGAAGCAATTCAAGCAGAGGTACAAAACGAAATGCTCAAGCATGTGCACTGCCTCATATAAAATGCAGACTGATGTTAAACAGTGTATTTCACAGAATTGATTGCCTGCCCTAACAAAAATCATGGATATGAAATGCTTGTTAAGCTAAATGAACTTCATGCAAAATTTCTGTAAATATTTTCTGAAATAAATGTGCGCTCAAGCAATGATTAGATTGTTGCTCTTATCATCTTTATGTGACCAACCTACACAATGACCATTGGTGTGACTCTCTGCTGTGCCTGCACATTTGAGTTTATTTGTCAGTTCTCCGTTTCCACCAGCTACACACTGTATAAATAATCCTTGTTTTTCAGGTTAATGCCAAGTTCCGCTATCCTTTCTACTATGAAATGTGCTGGTATGTCCTGGAAAGATATGTGTTCTGTTTGACGAAAAGGTCTCATCTCACCAAACAATACCAGAGGGAATCAATGTTAATTGGTAAGTTACCAGCAGTAGTACATGTGTTCACATGAAGCGTTTCAAGTTATTTATTCTATAAGTATTTGCAAACCGATAAAAGGCCATTAGCAAATTCCATAAAATATACACTTTCAGCAGACTAAAAATAGCTTGATGGTGGGGAAATAATTAACTGGCTCCCTAATGACCCAACTAACTTATCATGTAGTAGTTGGATCATTTAAACTGGCAAAGCCCCTTATATGTACTAAGTCAAATGCTTTCAACTTTGGTAGCAGTGGGGACACTAACAAATGAGTAAGGATGTGGATAATAAGTTAGTGTTCGTGCTCACATCTGATCGTCAGAAGCTCCAACTGATAATTTTGTTTCTTTAAACTGAGTGTGGATCAAATTGGATGAGTCAGTGATGCCTTTGCAGTTGAATAACCTTCCTAATGTACTGTTAAGTCTCACACATTAAATGTGGTGAGCTGGATAAGCATGACTGTTACCACTGAATTATACCTCGGAATGGAGTCAGCCGTAAGAAGGCACGGGCTAAAAATAACATGAGTAAAATTAATAGAGAAACTAGAACTAAAGAAATTTGCAGATTAATAATTGTTTATTCCCTGACCTGAACATGGGCAACATTATTCCAATTACTAATCAGACCACTTGCCATTTTGTGATGGCTTTTTCTTCCCTGAAGATACGATGGTTTATTTTTCAATGCTGTTTGCTCTTCCTGCACAGCTGTTAAAACTGACCAGTTTTTAAGTGGGATGGACAGGAACAGAGTGTTGCCCATTGTTGGACATTTTGCCTGGCTGCCATGGGTGTGCAGGAGTGGGTGGAGTAAATCTCCCTTGTTGATCACTGTGAAAAATAATTTGCAATGTATTTGCAATTATGTGTTTACACCTGTGTGGCTGAGCAGGCTATATTACATTTAATTCTTTATTGTGCTTTTTCTCGTTCTCTTTCTTGCTTCCAAAAACAGCATAAAACAATTCCTGCGCCGTCACCACAAATTTCTGTGACAGTGCACCACATTCTATCTTAGTGTTTTGCTTCTCTTTGTGGTCTCCTGAATGTCTCTGGCCTTCCAAGACCTTCCTGATGATATCCCTTTGCTAGCCTGATTTTACTAGCAGCTGAAGTGTTGCTGCTTTATACCAACAATGGTACAATGTAGGCAGAGGTTCAGAGTGACAGGTTTGCACGCCAAATTCTGATTGACCCAATTGACTCCTGGAAAGAGAGCCTCAATGTTTAGACGATAGAGTAAATTTGTTATTCTTTAGCAGCACAATCTCCATTTTCAGAGCAGTCTGTTTTGCACTGCTTTAAAGAATGAAGTTTTCTTTATTTGATTGTAACAGGGTTTCGGGGAGGCAAGTTAAGGTTAGCTAATCAATACTAAATCCCTGATAAACTCTGGCAGAAATCAACCCGTAGGTGAAAAAAGGCAAAAATCAGTCCAGGTTCCTGTTTTTTATTTCTCTCTCATGACCTCAATTTAGGAACTGCAAGACTGGGTTCAGTGTGAAACCCTCTAAAACTGTAATTTACAATGCTCAGTGCTTAAAAGTAATTTGCTAAAACAATCATTCAATTGACGTTTCTCATTCTTGTGTAAAAGTGCTTTGAAAAAATATTAAGCCAGTATTTAGGTATTGTTGACAATGAAGATGATTCTTATTATTGGAGAGTTTTGTGCTAGTACTGTCTTGAAAAGCATTCCATTATTATTATTCTCTCTGGAGTCAAGTGGGTGTTTTGAAGTGAGGAATTTGCAGCATTCTATTAATAATGTATCAAAAAAATCACTCCTACAAGGAAGCTCTTTTAATCTTTGGAATTATATGTTTGAAATTATTATGTGCAGTTCTACTGATATGTTATGTCTGAACTGTGTACAGTGCTGTTACATTGCAATGGATTTTTCCAGTATGGACATGACAGCTTGTCCTCGTGTCATTGCACACATCAACAGACCATAACCTGGCAGTGCTATGATTGGGCTCTATGCTCCTCCCTAGCATATAGAAAAATAGATGTTTGTTGTTGCTGGCCACTTGCCAGTGAATTCCAGTTTTGCATTCTGAGATGGTTGTCTTCTGCATATTGTTACAATATATTGGGCTTGTCCCTGTTTTCAATGTAATCACCTATTAACGTTATCCACTATTTAATAAAACATTTTTCTTGATTAATATTTGACATATTACATTTAAGTTTAAATATTTTCAGATACAGAGAAGAAACCAAATACAGAGAGTCCATCATCAGATTCCCGACTAGATATGGATGAAGAATCTTCTGATGTGCGAATCAAGGAGGAGAAAGATGACACGAAAGATAGAATGAGCCTTCAAAGCACAAAAGCATTTGGTGATGACTCACCTTCTCCTAACAGTGCACATTCGGAAGAGAATGAAAGCTCTGGAAAGACACAGAAAATGACAAAACGTTTAAAGCGGACTTTATCCAATGATTCAGATGACAGCACCAAGTCACCGATGCTGACAGACTGTCCAAAAACACCAAGTGGATCTCCTGACCCATCTCAACCAGCTTCTGAAGGGTCTAATAAATGGATTCACCTTACAGAATTTGAGTTGAAAGGGTTAAAAGCACTTGTGGAAAAACTAGAGTCCTTGCCAGAGAATAAAAAATGTGTCCCTGAAGGGATAGAAGATCCTTATGCCCTTCTCGAGGATATGAAGGTTAGTGTTGTAAAATATTTTCAAAGGCTTTGATGCAATTGTTTATCTGTCTGAAGCACCCAATTTTAATCAAATGCAAGTCATGTTATCATTTTTGATTACAAGTGGCACTTATCCTGTACTTCAGTTTATATTCTACTAATAATATGATTCTAAATTTTTTAATTATAAAAAGTACAGTATATCAGTCATATTTTGAGACCCAGGAGATTGAGAAAATGAATCAAAATTCCTTCAATACCTATTTAAATTTGATATTTAAGATTTAACCAGTCAGTGATAATTCAGAAAATCCCGTTAGTTTACTAAATATGAGCCGAAATATAAATAGCTTCTCCAGATTGGGAAATTAATAGCCTCAACTGCTTAATTACTCCACTGGATTTGCAGAGGAAGGGGATATAATTGTGCTACTTGAAGAGATAAACTCAAACTTCTATAACTGGCTATATTTCTGCCAAGTGAAATTCTTGTCAGTATTCAAGGTATGAGCTGTTACTGATTTTTGTAACCAAATCTAAATCCCCTTTTTAGCGTCCTTTTCACAAGTTTTCTCACCTCTCTTAGTATCCTTGGCAAACTGGACTATAATATACTTTGACCCTTAGCATGCAAGTCATTAGGTTTTAAATTGTTTGGAACCCGGCATTGATCCCTGCGGCACTCTGCTTGTTATAGTTTGGCAACCTGAAAATTATCCATTTATCCTGACTTTCCGCTTCCTATTAATTAGCCATTGCTTATGTATGCCAGAGTATTGCCCCCAATATTGTCTTGTCTTGTTTATCAGCCTTTTATGTGGCACCTTATTGAATGCTTTTTGAAAATCCAATACATTACATCTACCCCTTTATTCACCTGTATGTTACATCCTCAAACAACTCTAAATAAATTGGTTAAATGCTATCAGCCTTTTGTAAAGTCATTTTGACTCTACTTGATATTATTATGATTTTCTAAATACCCTGCTGCTACTTCCTTAATAATGGATTCTGGCACTTTCCCAGTGACAGATGTTAGAAAATCTTGCTTATAGTTTCCTGCTTTCTGTCTCCCTCTTTTCTTGAACAAGGTAATTTGCTGTTATCAAATCTTATGGGAGCTTTTCAGAATCTAGGGAATTTTGGAAGGATGCAACCAAAGTATCACTATCTTTGCAGCCATTTCTTGGGGTTATGACCAGGATGGCTTTGGTGCCTAGTACTGTGAAGACAGATCCAAAATACTTCCTCAGAGTCTCTGAGGAACTATTGCGTATTGTAACTGCTCTCTTTTTATATCTTGGGAGAAACTCCTACTCTCTCTGCCTTTATATTTCATGCCTTTTACTTCCATTTATATTTTATATTGTCTTTTCCAAACCGTTTACTGCTTTTTAAGATTTTTCCAATCTCTGACTAGACACTAATATTGTATGAATCACTTTATCTCTTTTAATTTTATTCCATCTTTAACTTCATTGTTAGCCATGGATGTTTTTCATCCCTCTAATATAGAATCTTTCTTTTTCAATGAAATATATTTTTGCTGAGAGTTATGAAATATTTTTTAAATGTCATAATTTTACTATTGATCCACCTTTTAACCTAGTACACTTTAACCAGCCTTGGCTTCGCAGCTTTACAAATGTTTTTATTTAAGTTTAAGGTATCGGTTTCTTACCCACATTCCTTACCCACCCTCAAACAGTTTGCGAAACACTACATGTTATGATCACGGTTTCCTAAATTGTACTTCACTATGAGATAATTAATGCCATCTCATTACACATTACCAGATCTAAATTGGCCTGTTCCCTGTTTGATCCACAACATCTTAAATATGTTATATGAACTCCTCTATAAAGCTACTTTTGTCAATTTGATTTGCCCATTTTTATAAAGATTAAAATCATCCATGACTATTGTACTTTTCACAAACCCTGTTATTTCTTACTCTATACTTTGCCCAACAATGCAGTGATAGTTAGGGGATCCATAAATTGCTCATCACCATGGACTTATTTTCTTTGCTAATTCATATCACTACCTGAGTTGGTTGTACATCTAGTCTTCTGAGCCAAGGTTCTTTCTTACTGCTGCACTCCTTTTATTTTTTATTAATAGTTACCCCACCTCCTTTTACTTTCTACCTATTCTTCTGAAATGTCAGATATCGCTGAATATTACCGCTTGCCCTTGACAGTCAGTTCAGTGAAGCTGGCTTATGAAATGAGTTAGGGTAAAAATATCACTGGACAATGTTTATGTAATTTATTATTTTAGAGCAATCTGAAATGATGGAATCTTGGTGGGACATTATTTTATAAGCACTCATATTTCTTACTAGTTTTTTTAAAAAAACCAGTTGTTGTTTTACATGCATGTCTTGTTACATGCATGTTTATAAGCCCACATTCCTGGATGTTAGAAGTGATTAAAGTATCCAGTACACAAAAGGAAAGGTTGTACTTTTAATTTATTATAGTACAATATAATTCACTTAGGTACTGGCCTGCAGTCTTAATTATTGAAACTGTAAATTCTAATACGGGAGTAGATCTTAAAGCTGAGTTCAAGGAAATACATATTTGAGTCTTGAAATTTGTAACATTCCTACTGCTCAGAATGTCACTTGATGAATGGTCAGGGTATCACGCCTGCTGTAGAACATGGAATTTTGGCAACAATGTTTGGTTTGTATGAAAACAGTGAAAAAAAAATCAAGAGGGGAAGCAACTTATATTTACAATCATTTGTTCCAGTAAAATGCTCCAAAATGCTTCACTGGAGTGTTAGAAAACATTTGGCATTGAGCCATATAAAGTTATAATAGAACAGATGATCAGATGTTTGATTAAACTGGTAGATTTTAAATGAAGGAGAGGGAGGTTTGGGAGCAGGAATTTCAGAAATTGGATCCTGGGGAGCTGAAGGCACAGCCACCAATGGTAGATTAAATTCATGATGGGAACAGGTTGTAATTAAATGTGCAGAGATATCTCAGAGGGTTGTAGGCTATAAAAGATTACTGAGTTAAGACAGGTTGAGACCATGGAAGGACTTGAAATCAAGGAGGAAAATGTTACAATTGGAGCATTCTTGGACTAGGATGCTAAATGAAGAGAGACAGTTTCGGAAACTTGGTTGGCATGGACGAGTTTGGACTGAAGGGTTTGTTTCCTTGCTGTATGTTTCTATTACTCTATAAAGGGGAGCCAGTAGACATAAGGTCTTCTGCATATACATTTCTGTAGTGTATGATTCTATGACTATCATGCCAGAACTTGTAAATAAGTTATCCAAATGACTGTAATTCATCAAAGGTAAACTGTACCTAATTTTTTGAGGGCGACGGGAAGGCAGAAAATAAAATGTGCCTTTTCCGCATGATACGACGACTAAAGAAATTGAGGCTCTGGTCAAGAAAAAGGAGGCATATAGTAGGTCTAGGTAGCTGGGATCGAGCAAATCTCTCTGAGTATAAGGGCAGTGGGTGTATACTCCAGGGAAATCAGGAGGGTAAAAAGGGAGCATGAGATAGCTTTGGCAAATAAGGATAAGGAGAATCCAAAGAGATTCTACAAATACAATAATGGTAAAAGATTAAGTAGAGAGAGAATAGGGCCCCTTAAAGACCAACGAGGCCATATATGTGTGGAACTGCAGAAGATCGGTGATATACTAAATGAGTATTTTGTGTAAGTATCTACTGTGGAGAGGCAATGGAAACTAGAGAACTTGGAGAAATAAATAGTGATATCTTGAAAAATGTCCATATTAAGGAGGATGTGGTGCCGGATGTCTTAAAACACATAAAGGTGGATAAATACCCAGGATCTGATCAGGTGTATCCTAGAACTTTGTGGGAAGCTAAGGAAGTGATTGCTGGGCCCCTTGCTGAGATACTTGTATCATAGACAGCTGCGGGTGAAGTGCCGGAAGACTGGAGGGTGGCTAATGTGGTGCCATTATTTAAGAAAAGTGGTAAGGAAAAGCCAGGGAACTGTAGACTGGTGAGCCTGATGCCAGTGATAGGTAAATTGTTGGAGAGGATTCTGAGGAACAGAATTTACATGTATTTGGAAAGGCAAGGACTGATTAGGGATGTTCAACATGGCTTTGTGCACAAGAAATTGTCTCTCACTAACTTTACTGAGTTTTTTTGAAAAATGACAAAGAAGATTGATGAAGGCAGAGTGGTGGACATTGTCTATACGGACTTCAGCAAGGTGATCGACATGGTACACTGGTTAGTGAAGTTAGATCACAGGGAATCCAGGGAGACCTGGCCAATTTGATACAAAATTGGCTCAAAGGTAGGAGTCAGAGGGTGGTGGTGGAATGTTGGTTTTTGGACTGGAGGCCTATGACCAGTGATATGCCGCAAGGATCAATGCTGAGTGCACTGCTTTTTGTCATTTACATGAATGATTTCAATGTGAATACAGGAGGATTGCTTAGTAAGTTTGCAGAAATCACTAAAATTGGTGGTGTAATGGACAGTGAAGAAGGCAATCTCGGAGTACATCGGGACCTTGATCAGGTGGGCCAATGGGGCAAGGAGTGGCAGATGGAGGCTAATTTAGATTATGAGAGGTGTTAAATTTTGGAAAGACAAGTCAGGCAGGCTTATACACTTAATGTAACGTCCTGGGAGTGTTGCCAAGCAAAGAGACCTTGGGTTGCAGATCCATAGTTCCTTGAAAGTAGAGATGCAAGTAGACAGAATAGTGAAGAAGGCATTTGGTACGCTTGCCTTTATTGGTCAGTGCATTGAGTATAGGAGTTGGGAGGTCATGTTGTGGCTCTGCAGGACATTGGTTAGGCCATCTTTGGAATACTGAGTTCAGTTCTGGCCTCCCTGCTATAGGAAGGATGTTGTTAATCTTGAAAGTGTGCAGAAAAGATTTACAAGGATGTTACCAGGATTGGAGGGTTTGAGCTATAGGGAGAGACTGGATAGTTTGGGGCTGTTTTCCCTGGAGTGTTGGAGGCTGTGGGCGATAGAGGTTTATAAAA